TTTTTTTTTTTTTTTTGCTCATGACAGTTTATATTTACTAAAATTATTATTATTATTTTAATGCTAGTGGCATGATGTGTAGAAGAACATTTGTTTGACATAATTATTTTTTTAATACTAGTGGGATGATGTGTGGAAGAACATTTATTTGACATAAACAAAATGGAAAATAAAAAATGACATCATGCATAGTAAAATTGAATTCATTTACTATTGTATGAATAGTATACACTCCTTCCCCTTTTTATTAAAAGTTAGATACCATTAAACGATGAACTTTTGGAGGGAGGGAGGATCATTGAATATACAATCATGCTACACATTCAAGCTCAAATTCAAATGAGACACGTGTCGAAATATGATTGCACATTTTGAAAAATTAAAACAAAAACACTCAATCATTTTTTAATGTATCAGTCTTTCTCTTCACTTTCTGTTTTTCAATCTGGCTATGTGGCTTTACTCTTAAATATATTTGTGACAATCTGTTCGATGCTGAATGCTGCATGGGATGTTGAATGCCCTTCATTACTCTGATAGGAACCTGGCTTATGATTGGTGCCTTCTCTACCTTAATGCTTTCGAAGTAAGCCCTTTTGTAATCTATTTAGTGACTAAGGGCCTGTTTGGTGAGGCTTAACTTTTGTTTCTATCTCTTGTGGAGGAGTTTCTCGAGAAACCTACTTTAGACCTAGTCTGGTAAAATATTTTCAAAAACAGCTTTATTTGTTTCAAAAGCAACTTTTGATTTCTTAAAAGACATCCAACACGGGCATTAATTCAAGTTGAACATTGCCCGATAATTTGCGACTTTGTACAGGACGCTCAATATAACCTTCTAAGTTTCTCACTCTTGTATAGGGCTGATCAAAATCAAACCTAAATCGTTCAACCCGATCAACCCAATTGATTTGGATTGGTATTTTAAGTTCAATTGGGTTGGGTTGAGTTTCGGGTTATGATTTAAAACCCAACACAACCCGATGAATTAAGAAAATTAATATTTAAGATGGAAAAAATCCAAATAAACACAATAGTAAATATATGGGAATAACTTATCATTTATAAACATTTATTTTCTTTATATAGATTGATTCACATGAGCACTATGTACAAATAAAATGTTATTTGACAATGAAGTAAAACTTAAAACGTGATGATGAAATGAATAAATCTCAAAAAATTGTAAAAACAAAAATATTTCATAAATTTTAAACTTATTTATACATTATTTTTCAAGAAAAAATTCCTTATATAAGTATTTAAAAAAAAAAAAAAAAGACAGAGATTTTCAAGTAATTTCAAACTTTAAAAATTTATCCAAATTCAACAAAAAAATAATTGGATCCAATTTTAATTGGACCAAAACCCAAACCGACCAACTCAGCCCAAGCCAACCCAAACTTGATCGAGTTGGGTTTAAATTATTAATTGAGTTGGGTTAAGTTGATTTTAAATCAAACTAACCATTGGGTTGAGAAAAAACCGACCCAACTCAAATCCGTTAGTGTAAAAACATTGTATGGTTAAATTCGTTACATATCGTTGGTTCTTTTTGAGTCTAAAATTTTTTTTTAGGAAGTGTTTATAAAATGCAAAAGTCTACATGTACATAATATTGTGATGTGGTAATAATTCGATTGTTGATGTGAAAATGTGAGATTTGAATTAAAAGTTGGATCCAGTGGCACATGTAATTATGGACATGTAGCACTTATAAAATAGTTTAGAAATGTATAAAAAGGTCTAATTGATAAGTGGATAGTTTTTGTGGATTTCTTAAAATGTCTATATAAAAAAGTAACTCAACGGTTTATAAACATTAGCCAAATATAGGCTAAGGTGAAACTCCACACAAAATGTAACGAAAGTGAAAGAATACAGACCTGCTTGATGTAGGTTTTTTGAGAATAATTTTTTTGAAAGATGATATTTTGGAAAAGGTGTAATTAAAAAGTAGAGAAAAATTATAGGTTCACGTGCAAAATTATTTTTGTTGAGTGAATATGTAATTGAAAATGAATTTGAATTTTTTTTTTTTTTAAAAAAGAATCCATACTAAACAAGTGCTAAAAGCTCCCTTTTGAAGTTCGACGATAAAAATGTAGCTCTAATCCAAAAATACAAGCCACTTGCAACCTCACATTAATTTCGAACTTATGGAGTCTTTTGAGTCTAAGCCCTTGTTTGGTCTCCATTATTTTTCAAATATATTTTTTATTTTCTTAACCACGCATAATTCGATAAAATAATATCACACACATGTCCAAATTTTTTTGTTAGTTTTAAATAACGTATTTTTCATCAAATCACTATTCTAAAATGTATTTATGATACACAAAAAAAAAATGAGGCTCAAACGGGTTCTTATATAAATTTAATCATTTATTTTTAATTTGTCCCACAAAGATCATCCAAATCTATCATAAGCCGTTCGAATAAAATAATTAAGGGGGTGTTTAATAGTTATTTTTATGTAAAAATACATTTTAGAATAATAACTTGATACGAAATGTGTGATTGAAAAATAAGAAATTTTTTTGATTTACGTGTAATATTATTTTAATAAAGAATGTGTAGTTAAAAGAAGAGAGAGAAAAATACATTTAAAAAAAATGACTGTCAAACGGGGCCTAATTGAAACAAAATAAGATTTGACAAACTTAACATCAACATTTAGAGATGAAATGACCTAGCGGTCGAACTAAAATAAATATAATTTTAATAATGAAATTGAAACAAATAAAAATTGAATAACCAACATTAATAAACCTTTAAGTCGAGTGACGTCTAATAATATTCTTAACAAATTTCATGAGCAACCCTGAATTATGGGGATCACAAAATTATTGCACGTTTCCCCTCGGAGATCCCAGGCCCCGGGATACGTGGCATTACTCGTCCAAAAATGTAGGACGATAATATATTCATTTTGTTTGAGCCCCATTTTATTCATTAAAATACATTCTTTAACAATAATTTGATCTCACTTCAATCATATATTTTTAATAAAATAATATTACACTCAAATTCATGACTTTTCTTTATTTTTCAATTACACATTTTCAATACACTATTTAAAAATTCAAAAAAAAAATTCTCTTTTTTTTTTTTTTTACAAGGGCTCAAGCAAGAGCATTAATTGCGATGGTCCCACCCAAAACCTATTCTCATGAAATGGGTCCCTAATCAGGCACGAGTTATGCGTGTGAATCGCACGGCCGGAGATAAGGGTCCGAACGAGGAATTAGTGGCTGTTGGCCGGTTGACCCGACCAATTTTCCAAACTGGCCTTTGACCAATGAAAAAAAAAAGGCAAAATTATAAAAAACGGTGAAACCAAAAAAATGAAGAGAATCCCAATTTTACCCTCACTTGAAAACGAAGCAGAGCCGAAGGAGACGGGAAAATACTGTAGCACAGTCGACCCAGTCACCGACAAATAAGGAAAAACAGGAGACCCACTTGGCCAAAATCCCTCTGAAGAAGGTAAGAAATTTATACAAAAAAAAACCATGTGTAAATGTGAAATTTTGGATTGTTATTACTTGGGAAGGAGTGGAGATCGTCGGAAATGGAGTTTTTCGACGATCTCCTCGACCGGAACGTGGCAGACGGACGAAAATGGCGACTGGGCACGCCGTCTGGGAGCGCCCAGCCGCCCCAGACGCCTGGGCGCCCTGGGAACTGGGCCGTCTGGGCGCCCTTTCCCAGTCAACTGGGCAACCTAGTTGACTGGGCGCCTCTGCCCAACTGGGGCGCCCAGTCAACTGGGAAGCCGGGCCGGTTAGCCCAGTTGACCCAGTTGACTGGGCCGTCTGTTTTTTTTTCCTTCTTTCTTTTTTCCGGTAATTATTGAAGTTAATTAAATAATTATTAATGGCTTACTGTGTTATCTAATATGTAATTATTTATTTGAATTGGTTAATTTGAATGTTTATTATGTATTTAAAATTATTAGTAAATATAAGATGTAAATGTTATATTATTTATCAAAATATTTATTAGTTGCTAATTTAGATTAATTAATTATTTTATATTAAGTAATAGTAAAAAAATTAAAAGAAATAATATAAGATTAAATAATGAATATATCTAAACATTTGTAAAAAAAAGGAATACGCAATTAAATTTGAAAATTAAAATATCAATCAAATTATTTTTTTGCAAAGCAATTAAAATAAATTTGTAAATATGAAATAAGCGATATGCGTAAAGAATTAAAATAAGTGTCTAAACATTAATTAAAAATGAAAAAGTTAATTTAGTGTTAGATAAATAATTAAAATATGCAATTAAAATATTAAAATAAACGATCAAATTAGCAAATTAAGTATATGGAAAATAGTAATGTACGTTTATTTTGTTTATTCCGTTATCGGTTGGTTATTGCATCTAGTAGCAGTGTGTTAGTATATTTTTTTTAATATTTTTGTTTATCGAACATTATTTGCATAGGGTCCTAATATTTGAAATTTTGCAGGATGGAATATCATCTGGACGACGCTGTCAGACAGATCCCTGGTAAAGTTACCTCGAATTGTAACTTTACCAGCTTCGCTTTAGTATTGGATTTGCTGGACGACGATCATGCAGATATATTACGTCGATCATGCTTATAGCCACTGTATTCGTTGCGTGACGTACAGTGGTCTGGGCAGCTGCTGGATGCCCTATTATGTCGCTTGCTGAAGCCAGTTGACGGAGACGCCCTCCATTTTGATCTTGGGGGCAAGGCAGCCACGTTCTCTATATTTGAGTTTGCTCTCGTCACTGGACTGCGATGTACGGATAATGCAGAGGCGAGGACCTGTGTTCCGAGGAACAGGAGGCTGTTGAACGAATATTTTCATTGACAGACGACGGTTACTCTAGCGCAGCTAGGAGATGCATTAAGGAGATGTGATCGGATGTCTGATATGTTTAAGTTAATGAATTACCTACACTTTTTTATTGAATTCTATACATAATAATTGTAATTGTTTCAGATATGAGTGTACGAGACTGTCCCTATCTTGGCCAGTCGGTATGCGAGGAGAGGAGAGACACGCTATCCTCGGATGCATCACTGGCGAGCACAAGACAAGCCGCTTGCCAGACAGTTATCGGCTCTCCTCGACGATCCTGAGGTACGTATTATACAATTGCTATTTATGTTGTACGTCCTTTCACAATCTGAATACATAGTCATCAACTGTGACATATGAAAATGACAGCTTGAAGTTCTCACTGAGTTGGCACCGTCGATCGAGGAGGAGAGTCAGTTTTATATTCGCGAATTGCCTCTTCGTACTGCGCATGACGATCAGATGCCTGATTCCAGGATGGATCGAGATAGGGTATGTCATTGTGCAGGATTTATTGAATATCGCTTCGATCTTGTAATTAAGTGCCTCACTTGTAATATTTATTTTTTCAGGAGGATCGTTCAGTATTACCTCCGTTGAGGATATCACCTCCACCGATGAGAGCACGTCCAGCGAGGATGTCACCTCCGCTGAGAAGATCACGTCCAGCTACGCCAGAGGTTCAGATGCCTGAGTCCAGCGTTGATCGAGATAGAGTATGTTACTTAAAAATAATTCTTCGATTGTCGTTTTATTTTATTTGTTAGGTTATTCATTTGTAATAGTTATTTTTTCAGGAGGGCCGTCCAGTATCGCCTCCTGCACCTAGTCCCCGTGCTTCGACGATTGATTTGTTCGACCTCCTGATAGAGATGAGAGGAGACATGGCAGAGTTACGGGATAATGTCGTGACACTACGAGCTGAGCTCGGGGACATGGCACAGTTACGATATGATGTCGCGATGTTACGAGCTGGGTTAGGAGACCTCCATGCTGAGGTTGCAGCGATACGGGGTGACATAGCAGGCCTGCGTGGGACGAGCGATTATCGAGATGGAGGAGGTAGCAGAGGGACAGGTCACTATCGGGACGGAGGGGGTGACGGAGGGACTGGTGGCTATCGAGAAGGAGGGACTGGCGGTTATCGGGACGAAGGGGGTGACGGAGGGGTCGGTGGTTATCAGGGGGAGGGGGTCAGATGGGGTATGTTGACTCATCGTGGCCATCAATTGCTGCATTTGATTCATTTTTAGATGACACGATGGGGATGGAGGAGCGAGAGAGGATACCTGTGGTGGAGGGGATGCCCGACAGGATATACCTGAGGACGTGGAGGGGGTACCCGAGGAGGAGAGGGTAACGGAGATGGAGGTGGAGGTGGTATAGGAGGTGGGGGTGCCCGTGCAGGGGATACCCGAGGACGTCGAGGGGGCATCGGAGGTGGAGGTGGTACCCATGCAGGGGATACCCGGGGATGCCGAGGGGATACCGGAGGAGGATAGGGTACTGGAGCTGGAGGTGGTACCCGTGCACGGGATACCCGGGGATGTCGAGGGGGCACCGGAGGAGGAGAGGGTACCGGAGGTGGATGTGGTACCCGAGAAGACGCCAGACTCAGCGGTCGTGGTCTTTGTGTCGGAGGAGGTGGTCCCGACAATGGGCGAGGGGGTTGTCCCGATGGTTGGGGAGATGGAGATTCCCGAGGCACATGAGGAGTGGGTGGTCGGCAAGAGGCCAAGGGTGCCATCACAGTACGTTCTTTCTCCCTTTATCGCGGAGGCGAAGAGGAGAAGGTTCGTCGACGGGACGCACCCGAATTTATTCAGGGAGGTGGACCACGCCAAGTGGAAAGCCTTTAAGACAGAGTGGAGAGCACTGCAGCCTGGGTCAGTTTTGTATTTTATGTAATTACTATAGTACGTAGACGCTGACACGCGTATACTTCATATAACTAAAAATTCTGTTCTTATTTTTTCAGGGCCAGCCGCACGATTGCTGAGAAGACGATCTCAAATGCTTACAAGTGGTTCCACAACATCACCACTTCGAGGGCTTGGCTCGCCGACGATGTAAGCGAAATGAAAATATTGTTATTTATTATGTACGTTCAAAATCAATTTTTTGAATGAAATTCATATATTAACTCCTTTCTTTAGTGGTGTTTCTTGATGTAGCACATCGACTTGAGCATGGATTTGCTACGGGATCGTGCTGAAAGACATCCAAAATCGTTCAACATTCCTGGCAGACTCATATTGAACACCGAGTTCATCCGTGCCATTGACATTGAGTACCAGTCGTTTCAGGCTATGGGTAGCGAGTACACGGTGCAGGAATATATGATGGAATGGGTCGTAGGGATGTGGCCGAGTGTCGGTGGGAAGCCATGGGATGGATGTACGCATATGTACGTACCAGAATGTCTAAATCATCACTACATTGCAGTGAAAATCGTATTCGCCGACTCCACGATGTATGTGTACGACCCCGATCATTCATGCCTGACACAAGGCCAGCTCGAGCAAAATCTAGAGTCGCTGTCTGTGATCGTTCCCATGATGGCTAGACGAGCGAACATCACTGTACAAGACAGATTGGCCACCTTGCGGAACACGACGACGACGAGGCAACAAATATTGTAAGTGTTTGTAATTTTCTTTCTCTCATTTACATCTTAGTTTCTAATTAATTTTCGATGTGCTAATACAATATTGTTTAATTGTAGGGGTGATTGCGGCATATTCGTCATCAAGTACATAGAATTTTTGAGTGTGGCACATAAGGTTGATGCAATCAACCAGGCATGGATACAAAATTGGAGAAATAAACTAGCATGTGATTTATTTGAATTTAATGGGGATCCGTAAATAATTGTACATATTTTTACATTTATTTAAACATTGTACAATTCATTCATTTATTTGTAATTACGAAAAAATTGTAAAATATTGATTGCATATGTAATATTTAAATATTTATTTTACAATGTAGCCTACTGTATAATGCAGTTTCTAGAAAAAGTTTCGATTCCAAATAATTAACATAAATAATATGCATAACAAATGAATGTAATGAATGAAATGTTTGAAAAAAATACTAAATCTAATAATTCGCATAAATAATATGCATAAATAATTAACGTCAATGTTATAAATAATTACATTGCCAATAGTTATTAAAATTACACATCCGTTACATTGTCATGTAGAGGAATATGACTTGTACAATATCTTCTAGTATGCCCTGTTGCACCGCACCTACCGCACTTACGAGGCTGGGGAAACTCTCCGGTAGATGGTATTCTAGACGTACGTGTACGTCCAGGAGTACGTGGTCCAACTGCTGGTGGCAACAAGTTATTCAGTGGGAGAATGTGGTCGGGCACTTCCCACTCGACTTCATTTGGTACAGGAAATATTGTTTCCGCATATGCTGCTCTCCAATAATCAGTCATGTAATACACACTGCATAAGCTATGTGGTGGTAATTCTCTATGCATAGCCACTGCCACTGTATGTGTAGATGGAAAACTCTCCAATTGAAACCGTCTACATGTGCACGTGTTATCATTCAAGTTCACAATGTATCCGAAATTACGTGCACATCTCACGGAGAAGCGAAATTGATCCAGTGGTTCTACATATACCTTTCTTGCCACATTTAGAGTCTTGAAGAGCTTATCTTCTTGAGCCGGGGTTAGCACACTTGCACAACTCTGTAATTCCTCACGTCAATCATGAAACCACTGTTGTAACTTGTCACGAATATTCTCAATCATTGCAAGAATTGGTAACTCTCGATCTTTCTTGAATAAAGCGTTAAGCGACTCCGCATTGTTCGACGTCATCATGTTGTATCGACGTCCTGGAAAATGTGATCGTGCCCAATGTTCAATCCCCATCTCTGTTAGATACTCCCATGCAGCATGCGATTTACTGTCTATTTCGACCATGAACTTATCAAACTCTTCAAAACTGTAAGCCTCTGCAGCTCTCCTAAACAACGCAACGACGCCATTGCCTCGATACCTGGTCTTCAAGTTTCCCTGTATATAGTACATACAATAACAATGATGTGCCTCGGGGAAGACTTCGGCGATACCATTTATTATTGACTGCCCTCGATCGGTTACGAATGCAAGATTTTCGACATCTCCAATTACTTCCCTCAACTTCGTGAAAAACCAACTCATTGCTACATCATTTTCTCCGTCGACTATGCCGAACGCAAGAGGGTAAATTTGGATGTTCGCATCTTGACATGTTGCAATAATCAACTTGCCCCCGTATCTCGCCTTAAGGGTTGTACCGTCGACTAAGATTAAGGGTCGCATTGCATTTCGAAATCCTCGAACACATTGTCCAAGGGCCATAAAGAAATATCTAAAGCGATTTTCGTCATCTTTCTCAATAAAAAATGCCGACACAGTATTAATTCTTCCCATGTTATAGCAATACCTGGTCAATGTAAATAAAAATAATCATAATTTAGATAATATATTAAATATTAAATGAACAGAAAAATAAACAATTCAATTAAATAATTAATTACATATAAATAAACAATTGAAATTAAATAATTAAAATTTACTATAACAAAGAAATAAATACTTAAACAATGAAATACCTGGCTAATTTAGCATAATTCTCCTCAGTTGAACCCATCAAATCCTCCAATGCACATTCTTTAGCCTTCCAAGCCTTCTAATAGCTCATGACCACCCCGTACTCACGTCGAACATCATTAATGATGTCCGAAAGTCTGTAGATCGTTCGTGGATCCTGGAACTTGTGCATTATTTCTCGACCAATGAACCATGATCGGGCCTGCCTATGATCATTTCGACGAATACCCACTTCGCAAGTATGTTCCCGTGCATACTTACGGACTATAAAGAACTCATTCGTGTCTATCTTAGTCGCTCGCAAACGCCAATGGCAACTGTCGTCAACGCAGATAATTGTGTATAACGACTTGTTTGATTTCTTCACTTTAAACTCGAAGTTATGTTTTAAAGCAATCCGATGCACAGTTTCTTGCAATTCTTTCTTTGATTCGAATAGTTGCTCGACATATACATCTTCATCATCGGGAACTACACGCGAACAATTAGAGGACCGTGTACTCGGTCCGGCCTGTGAGCTCTCACCCGACTCATGTCTCCTACGAGATAAAGCAATCAAATCCTCGTTTGTAAATGCATTTTCATTCTCGTTGTCTTCAACTATCGATGGAATTCTGTGCGTAACAGTGTGACCATGGTGAGTAGCAATGGTCTCGGGAATAACCACATCATCTTCACGAACAATCTGAATTGTATCCCAAACATCATTTACATTACGATTCTCTTCATTTGAAACTTCGTGTTCCCCCTCGTGGACATTCTTCCCCAATAAAGTTAAGCAAATAGGAGTCGACTTCCGGCCTTGGTTCAATTTAATTAGATGTTTCATTTCCACTTCAGAAGTAACTTTCATGGGTGGAATTGAAATGGTTGAATACTTATGAAACAAAAATTCCAATTCCATATCGTACTGAGAGGGATCGATGTTAAGCATGTTTTGTATATCACTGTACATTTCTGCGAACGATGTACTCCTTGTTATAAAAATTGCTTTAACCCCATCTCATTCACTCGTCCATTTCCATTCCCACTGAGTATTTTCATTCATTTGAAATTCACCAAAGTAACAAATTGGGACACATGCTGATGCCATATCTGTCACAAATTAAAAATAAGGAATTAATATATAATTTTTTAAATTATTCATTTCATATTTAATTTAATTTAATACTTTAAATAATTCATTGATTATTTTAATTGTTTCAAAAATATTTATTTCAATTAGTATTTAAATATTCATTAATATTTATTTCAATAAACATATATTAATGAACAAATAAATTCTAAAATTTGAAGGGGAAAAAAAAGGGCTGGGAACAGCCGGCCCAGACAACTGGGCCGACTGGAAACATTTGGCCCAACTTTTTTCGTCCATTTTATCTGAAATTTACGCTCTAATTTTTTATTTTTTCCCTTTTTCAACGAAATAATGTTTAAATATTTATTTTACAGACACCTATAAATTTTTTCTGTAAAATATATGCATACAGAGATGAATTTTTTTGTTGTTTTTGTTATAAAAAAATTATAAATCTGTGTTTAAATACTGTAAAATTCATTTGCCTTTCTCAAAATAATTATTTACAGATTCAAACAGTAAACTTAACTAAAACAAAATTCAAAATATGTATTTACACTTACCAATTTTCAGTGCCGACTGTGAGTATTGTTTCTTTCTTGAACCTTTGATAATTTTGGGAGATTTCAATATTTTAACAGATGGAAGGAAAAAATTCTTTTTTACTGTATTGGGGAAACTGATAAATCAAAACTGATTTTGAAATTTACGTATGGAAGTAACAGAATTTATTTAAACTTTTAAGGGTATTATTGTCTTTTAAACAATTGATATACTTTTGTAATTATTAAACATGTATAAGAGTAGAATTGTCTTTTTAATGACAATAAGCCAATATGGTGAATACAAAAAAAAATAGTCAAAATGAAAATTTGGTTGTTTGAACAAGCTATTTTAAAATGTACCCCGAGTCCGAACGCGTGCCACCTCCCACACACGCCTCCCTCGTGTAAAACCTCCGCCCCCTTGCTCTCACCGCCGCTGGGTCATCTTCGCCGGGGGTTAATACTTTTTTATTCTTTATCTTGGGAACCGGTCCTCTCCGGGGCACTCCGCTTTCTATTCCTCCGTTTAGATCTGAACGCGAGGAATGTGAAAAATTTCAACGGGGTGCGAGACGAAAGCGTCGTAAGTTGTTTTAAGCATTATTGAGCTTTCGTAAAAACTGAATTTTATTTAATTTTGACGTTCTTACTAGTGGCTACTAGAATTTGATTTAGTGGGAAAAATTCAAAAGAATTGATTGGATGTTTTGTTGTTTGGTTATTTTAGATATTCCACTAGTTTCATTTAATTGATATTGATTTAACCTGAAAAAAATAAAAAAATAAAAAATAAAAAAGCATGAAGAAATCACGTGCAGCAATGAAGCCAGTGTAATTACTTCAACTGGAAATTCCAGTCCTTTTACTATATAATCAAGTGAGATACTCACATTTATTTTCTTATTGTTTTAGATTATGATGCAAGGTAAATGATGCGTGTCTCGAGCTATCTGTTGGACACGTGGTAATAAGAATAACAGAAATACAAGATAGCTGTCGAATGCGGTAAACGCTGGAGCATCAAATAAGTAACGTATATCCCTATTGCGTTTTCTGTATATTTCCAAGGATCAAATTTATATGTATAAAGCTTGGTCCTTTACGAAATTCACTCAATTATACTTTGTAACTCACTTGACATTGTTTACTTGGTATAGCATTTACTGTCAGATAATTTTGAGCCACCCGGTTGGACTGCCCAGACATGTAAACACCTGTGTTCACTATCTAACAGATTGTTCTAATTATACATAGAAGTATGTTGCTTTGATCCGGAGGCTTAATATTAAGATTTATGCTTAGAAGAGAAGATAAACGTGATTAAGGAGAAAACTAGGAAAAGTAATGGCAGCAGAGATGCAGAGATTCAGAACGAGTGAAGATGATGACGATGAAATTGATATGGATGTGAAAGAGGAAGATGATGACGATGACGATGATGATGACGATGAAGAGAAGAACATGGCTACTCCTGCAATGGTTGGTGTTGATGTAGGTATTTTATCGACAAGCAGCAGTAATAATTTTATGCAGCACCACCAATTTCAAGAACAGCCAATTACTCAAGGAGGAGGATCTAGGAGGTGTAGGCCACAAGAAGAGAAGGAGAGAACGAAGCTACGGGAGCGGCAACGTAGAGCAATAACTGCAAAAATTTTGGCTGGACTTCGTAGGCATGGGAACTTTAATCTTAGAGTCAGGGCTGATATCAACGATGTCTTTGCTGCTTTGGCAAGGGAAGCTGGTTGGGTTGTTCTTCCTGATGGAACCACCTTCCCTTCCAGATCACAGGTACTCACTATTGCAACCATATGCGATTTTTTCTTGTAGATATGAATATTATTAGGGATCTCAAACGCTAAACAACTTATCTCCATAGGTGCATGCCACAAGACCTGTAGGAGGTACATCACCTGCAGTGGTTACATTGTCATCTCCACATACGCCAGCAGAACACACATCACCTACTTCCTTAAGAGGCATTTCACCTGGTTATCAGAGTACGGTCAATTATAATGCCAGCCACATGAAAGGCAGTTTTGTGCCCTCTTCATCTCCTTATGATGTGTCCTCCGGTGCACGATCTCAGACTTCAGCTATGATGGGTGACGGAGGAGGCATGCTGAGTGATCCTCCTCTTGGAGTTTCCATCGATTCAGTTCAAAATAGGCAGGTGAGATGGTTGTCTCTTTACTAAGATCAATTCTTAGTTTCAGTAAATTGCACATGAAACTATGTGATGTTTCATAAGCAATCTTCATATGTAGAACAAATAAATAAATAATGAAGAGAAAATTGTTTTATGCCTTATCCCATCAGTTTTCTTATATGAATCTTATGCCGCATTTTAATCAAACTGTCTATGGTTTTTGGGTCTTCTTGTGGCTAAGCCAGCATTCCTTATTTCCTCAATGCATATCTAATATTTTTCCATGCGTTATAAACAATTTTTGTAGGTTATCGACGTTTCTGGAAAGGTGCAGGAGCGTGATTTCGCTGGCACACCATATGTTCCTGTTTATGTTATGCTACCGGTGAGCTCTATGAGTACTCTTATTTTGGCCTTTTATTGTCTTTACTCTTTATGATCTTTTGTACTTGTTGGCTTGCATTTGGTATCAGAAAATTTTTCTCCTCCGTTGTTGTGAAAAAGTGTTAGTAGTTTCCTAGTTCTATCATAATTTTCGATTCTAGTGTATTCCCATTCCTTTTGGTGGCAGTTGGGTGTCATCAATATGAAGTGTGAGCTTGTTGATCCTGACAGTTTAGTGAAACAACTCAAAATCTTGAAATCAATTGACGTTGACGGTATTATGGTAGATTGCTGGTGGGGTATAGTAGAAGCGCATGCTCCACAGGAGTACAATTGGAATGGATACAAGAGATTGTTTCAAATCGCGCGACAGCTTAAGATTAAGTTACAGGTAAGTTCTCCATAAGATTTGCTGCGTCCCTGGCCTTCAATTTTGTTTTTTCTCTTCGCGAGTCTCAGGGGGACATTTCACAGGGTTCTGACTTATCTCTTAAAAGGGAAAAAAAAATTAGTTTTATAAGGTATTATTTTGTGGATGCCAAGTCTTCAGTTCTGTTGCTTTTGTTCTATAGCACATCATCTTCTCCACGTTTTAAAGGTGCAGATACAAGTACTTAATGAATCTTATCTTATTCATTAGGAGTATGATGGCTGATATATTTCGAAAGTTGACAAGCTTTTCATAAAGCATAAATAGATTGGTGACGATAATGCAAAACAAATAACTGCTGTTGCTTATATGTATATCTCTGAGAATTTTATTAAAACTCGTGAAGTTTTAATTGGAATCAGGTTGTAATGTCCTTTCATGAATGTGGTGGTAATGTTGGTGATGATGTTTGTATTCCCCTGCCACACTGGGTAGCTGAAATTGGTCGCGGCAATCCTGACATATTTTTCACTGATAGAGAAGGAAGACGGAACCCAGAATGTCTTTCGTGGGGAGTTGACAAGGAAAGGGTTTTGAGAGGCCGGACTGCCATAGAGGTATCTGATTCGACATCAAGAAAGTAAATGTGATATCATTGCTAATTTTTTAATTCTCAAAACACATTCAAGTTACCGCAGTTCTTAACTCTATAATATGTTTTTCTTTTTCATGTCTTGTATCTTTTGGGGTTCATGAAAAAATGAAATTACTGAGAACAAATAAGTTCCATGCCAAGTGAGCCAAAAATATTTCTACAGGCTGATGGTTACTTCTCTTAGGATTTGAGGGCTTCTAAATTTTTCGTATTTGCTCTCTTATTTTCTTATTCAGTTTTTAGTAATCACTTATGAACTTGATCTGGAACCTAAGCTTTCACTTGGGTTATTGTGACCGATAAGATCAATTTATCTCTTCGCTTGCCCTTTGAAAGAAAGAGCTGCAATTCTCTTACCCAACTGGATGGCAGAGTCAGTTATTTTAAAGTCTATTTTCCATTTCATATTTGGAGGAATTTTACTTTTTTTTTATTATCACACAATTATGCACACTTGATGAGCAGTTTAAAAAATTTATAGATTTGGTTTTGTTGTTTTTTATAATGAAAAATTTATGTAGGTTTACTTTGACTACATGAGAAGCTTCCGGGTTGAATTTGATGAGTTCTTTGACGATGGCATTATTTCTATGGTGATTGTTGGACTTGGTCCATGTGGAGAGCTAAGATACCCATCCAATCCTGTAAAACACGGTTGGAGATATCCTGGTGTCGGTGAATTCCAGGTAATGCAATATTTAATTATATTAGTTGCTAATTTCGACAGTGTCAAGTTTTCCAACGTACCGTTCCCTTGCTACCTACCGATCTATTACAGCCCCTTTGGACATAATGCTCTCTTAAAACCAGTTTGTCCCAATATATGTAGAGTACATGCACAATAGATAAACAACAAATGTGGTTGAGTTTCATGAACAAGCTCCTTATTAAATTTTTCCAGAAATTGTTCTGAGAATATCTTCTGAAACTCCTTAAGCTTTTAATTCTCTCTGATATAATCTGTCAACATTGTTCATCCTTTGCAGTGTTATGATCAGTATATGTTGAAAAGCCTTCGGAACGCAGCTGAAATTAGGGGACACTCCTTTTGGGGGCGAGGACCAGATAACACAGGTTCCTACAATTCACGGCCACATGAAACTGGATTTTTCTGTGATGGGGGTGATTATGATGGATATCATGGCAGGTTTTTTCTCAATTGGTACTCTCAGGTTTTGGTTGACCATGGTGATCGGGTGCTTTCTCTGGCAAAGTTAGCTTTCGAAGACACTTGCATTGCAGCAAAGGTAAACCAGCTCCACAAAATTCAATTTTTAATGCGCAGGATGAATTTTCTTATAGAAAATATGAAAAATGCATTTTATTGCAATAGTTGTTATATATTCTGTTGTAAGTAGCTTCTGTCTATTTGATACTGGAATGTAATGTGTATAGTGTTGTTGATAACAAATCAAATAACACATGAAGCTTATCTTACATGTCTATTTACGTAGGGAAGCATGACATTTATAAGTCACAGAAAGATGGCATGATTATATTCGAGCATGATTCCTTTCCCCAGCTATCATATAGATATGAAAGGAAGTGCTTATTTGATATGGATATTTCACGGAGATCATTTTACACATACATGTTGATGTTATTGTAGTTTATTACGCACGAAGTGTACATTATATAGACCGCTTCGAAAATTTTACTGGCTAACATGATCCCATTTTAATATGTTGCAAATACTTAAAATATATACGCAGATTTCGGGTATTCATTGGTGGTACAAGACAGCTAGCCATGCTGCTGAATTAACTGCTGGGTTTTATAATCCCTGCAATCGAGATGGTTATGCTACTATTATGGCAATGTTAAAGAGACATGGGGCAGCACTAAACTTTACATGTTCTGAAATGAGTATGTTAGATCAGCATGTTGACTTCTCTGAGGCACTGGCTGAGCCCGAGGGATTAGCCTGGCAAGTACGTGGCCTCTTGATATTCAAAATGAACTCCCTAATCTCCTGCTAGAGAATGTATTCTATCGGCTAAGCATTGATTTGTTTGCATAGTTACATCAGTGGTTTGCAGGGTAATTGTTAAAAAATGCACTCACTTCTTTCAATTTTTCTCATTGTAACAGCTTATATTGTAGGTACTGAATGCTGCCTGGGATGTATGCATACCAGTTTCAAGTGAAAATGCTCTTCCTTGCCATGACCGGGATGGTTATAATTATTTACTGGAAAAGGCAAAGCCCATGAGTGATCCAGATGGCAGGCATTTTTCTGCTTTTACCTGTTCAAACCTCAGCCCACTTCTCTTGGAAAGACACAACTTCGTTGAATTTGAACGATTTGTCAAGAGAATGCACGGTAACATTATCATAATATTACTTATTTTTGATTTTACGAACTTAGTGATATTTATTTTTCTTTTCTTTCTATGGCACCTAGGTACTAGTAGTCGACTTCTTAGCTATCGAAGATTTGTTAGGATTTGAATGACTACCAACATTCTCGGTAGATTGGTGTTTGTAAGATGCATTGTATACATACTCTCAAGTCTGCTTGCACAACTTGAAATTTATTGCTAATATGGCTTAGTTTTATCTTGTTCTTTATTTTTTTTCAGTAAAATAGATTGCACTGTACGTCTCCACTCAATAATGTCGTTATCCACTCAAATGGACTCCAAATCACCTCATACTTGGTGGAAATCTTCCAAACACCCCAAGGAACTCCTTTGCCAAGTCCTTGTGCTCGTTGAATGAAAGTGCCGCCTTTAAATTTTTATTGTTTTGCATCAGAGGAATGTTTCATCTCTAACGAGAGCTCTGCCAAATTCTTATTTTCCGTAATACTTCTATGTTACATCATCATTCACCACCAGTCGATTTGACGAGATTTTTTCTCCACGGAGTGTCTGGAAATCATCATTTAAGCATGGAATATATTAGGCCATTATTTACATATGCATGCTTGTTAAACCCATCATTAGCAGGAACAAGACAGTTGTAATCTAACTGTTTGATGTCTATTGCAGGAGAAACTGTACTCGAGTATCAGACATAGTTTCAGAACTCCCAATTCGTACTATAGGAAAGGCAGACGTACTATAGGAAAGGCAGGAGAGAGGAAGGTGATAGATATTTTAATACTCCATTTTAGGTAAACCTGTAAAAAAAAAAAAAAAGAATTAATTATGTATACTGTTGATTATTATAATTATAAATTATTATTATTATTATTATTATTATTATATAGCTTTAACACAAATAATCCGGTTACGTGCTTCAAGTCGGTGTAGGTGGTCTAACTTTAGTAGTAGACCTCATTTCGCATTCCAGCCTTTTTAGCTAACATGATCGAAAAGAGAACATTGGTTATGGTTGGAAATGTCTGAAATGATTATTTGGTATTCAAAGACCGTACCATTCATATATATTGTTCCATAGAGCTCTCTGAGGTTCACAATATTGAGAAATACTATGCTTAAAATTTAGTAAATTTTCTTTTTGGATTATTTTATATTAAAAGTAACTTTTATCTTTCTCAAGTTAGTTGCGAAATTATTTTCAAAGTTGATCAATAAGAAATTCAAAATTTTAATTTATTTGTTTACCTATGAATAAATTTAGCTTGGCTAATGTATTTATAAGTTACTTATAATCAACCAAATTACTTTTTATCCACTTGTAAAGTATTTAGTATTCATTTCTGTTGACGGTGACATTAATAATGGGGAAAATTTTATAAGTGAGAAATTAAGTATGGTATATTTTAAAATTAAGAAAACAAGTTTCAAAATTCAAAAATCAGTTTTTTATTAAAATTTATTTATGATTTAATTATTTTATTAATTTAATATATTTAGGTCACATATCTATATAATTTAGTCATGGATTAACAATTTGATTACTAATTTATTATATTTTGGTTACAAATCAAAAATTTTATGTCACAAATTATTTTACGGTTACAATTAAAAAAATTTAAATGTCACAGTTAGTTCATCGGTCACAAGTCAAAAAATTAATTAGTCACAAATTAATTTTTAGTTACAACTTATCAAATTATTGGTCGCAACTTATTTCTCGATCACAAATCAAAAAATTTATAGGTCACATTATTTTATGATCACAATTTAAAAATTTTATAGGTCACAAATTATTCATCAGTCACAAATTAAAAAATTTATAAGTCACGATTTATTAATTAGTCACAAATCGCATATATTATAAGTCATACTTATTATACAGTCACAAATTATCAAATCATTGGTCACAGAATAACAATTTTTTAGTTCACTCATTATTTATTGGTCACAATTTATATTTTTTTTTGGTCACTTCTTATTTTTTGATCCCAAATCAAAAATTTTATGTCACAAATTATTTTACGATCACAATTCAAAAATTTTGCAGATCACAATTTATTCATCGATCACAAATTAAAAAATTAATTAGTCACGTATTAATTTTGTCACAACTTATTTCTTGATTACAAATCAAAAATTTTATAGATCACATATTATTTTTTGGTCACGAATCAAAAAATTTACAAATCACAGATCACAAATATTATAGGTTACTACTTATTAGACAGTCACAAATTATTAATTTTTTAGGTCAAGCATCGACATCACCGCCGTTGTAACACCAAACACCACCACCATCGCGACGAGCGATGCCGATACATTGCACATCAGCCTGTGAACGCCTAATAAAGAAGAACTCCCAACAACCACCACTCCAAAACACCGCACCACGGCCACAAAACCACCAGCGACACCTCTCACAACCACCACCATTGACATCACCGCCACTATAATAGCAAACACCACCACCATCGCGACGAGCGACGCTGAGGCACTGCACATTGGCCTGTGAACGCCTAATCTGGAATCATCGACACAATCTACTGCACACTGGCGCTGTGAATGCTCGACAATGCACACCGGCCTCAACCACCAGATACGCCACCGCCAACCACCACCACAACTCGGCCAATACACACACCATCGCTCCATTCTTTCGACGATTCGCCCATCTTCTAGTCGGCAATTCCAGATTCACCCCAGCAAAATTGCTGCCACCACCATCACATAGCAAGGATGAATCTGTTCTTCTGGCCGGCGATTTACCCTTCTTCTAGTCGACGATGATGGTTTGGTTGAGAGAGAGGGCTGCCACTATGGGTGTAGAGAGAGAGGAAGAAGGGAAGGGAATATAGAGAGAGAAAGGAGTGAGCAAATTGATTAGGGTTTCGAGATAGAGTTTGTATATTTAATATTTATTTATATTTAAATGTGAAATATCTGATTTGTGAAATGTGAAAGTTCCCATCTGATTTTAAAACTAGGGTTTTATGTAATTTACACTTAATAACGTCACTGCTTATAAATAGCGTCCAAACATTTGTCCAAGTTTAGTCAAAACTCGTGAATTATGACCCAATTTATAGTGGATACATTATCCTTGTTTCTAGTCACGTTTATTTCAAGATAGGATAAATATAAAATCTCTATCATCGCATCACATCGATTCAATATTCATTTCATCCCAATCCACATTGCCCCACTCACCCACAAAAGAAAAGAAAAGAAGAAAAAAAAAAACATAGCCCAATGAATGGATATAGATTAAAAATATAAAAGTATTGTAAAGAATAATCTTCATCATATTTTTCCAATTTTATGGAATTATTTTCTTAATAATTGATTGTGCCATTATCATACAATCTTTTCTTTTAGAATTACTTATAGCCCTATAAATAGACTCTTCTATTTTGTAATAAAAACACAAATTTTCTATATACAATTTATAATAATCTAACATTGTATCATAGAGGAATTAATTTTATTTTGGATTAAACTTGCAAGCTTCTGTGAGGCTGTTCGCTCTATCAATTTTTTATTTTATTTTATTTTTTTAAATTAGACATCCTTGTCTAGCCAAATCCTTTTTCATTTTTAATATATTATGTCCATATTTTGTTCTTGATTTAGGTCGAATTAGAATTTCGGATTAATTCAAATCTTGTTAGATGTTGGCTACTCTCGTTGTTTCCTTCTCAGAGAAACTTGATTTTTGAGGAAATAGAGAATTAGTTTGGAAACTTTATGAGACCTGTTGATGCTAAAATTATTATTACTTTTTAAAAATCTTGTTATTTTTCCGTCGAATTTATTTCATTACATCTGTTGTTTTAGCCTTATTGTGTGCCAGGATTTCAATTTCATCAATCTTTCCTTCATCCGTAAGTGTAGTATTGATACTGCCCATGAATTTCTAGATTGTTATTATTAAATACGGTCTACTCTTCGCCTTCTAGTTATTAAAATCGTTTGGGTTTTTGTTTTAGTTTTGTTTGTTATACTTGTAGGTGTCTCCTTCAAATCGTGATGATGATTTGACTGATTGGTGTATAATTATTTTTCTTGGTTTGGTTTGATATGATTCGTGTATAATTATTTTTCTTTCTTACCAACTTTGAGTTCTTTGTTTGGCTTGATTGGCATGCAAGTAATTTTGAAGTATCATTTGATCCTTGAAAGAAGAAGATTTGATTTGATGAATTTAATTTTCAAACTAATTTTGATTTTCAATAGCATCATATTGAGTTTAAGAATATTGAAGATATGAAAAGACCGTACAAAATAATGTTCGTGATAAATTTTCAATTGTGTGATTATTTTTCTTAATAATTGATTATGTGATTATCACACAATCGATAATTTTAAAGTTATTTATAGTTCTATAAATAGGGTTGTCTACTTTGAAATAAAAAAAAAATTTATTATACATAATTTATAATATTTTAACAATATACATCATTTGATAAATTATATTCCTTGTAGGATAGACTATTAAGCGAGATCAAAGAAAAATACTTTAATTTTCTTTTGTCATGCCATGTGCAATACTTCTCAAGTATAGTGTAACAAACATGCCCGTGACAAAAAACCTTATTTGTTGTCTCATACAATAGTGTCCTACATTGTACCAATAAACCTGACCCCTAAAAGAAAAATCTAATATATCATTTTTTTCTTTTTTAATTTGATTTTCATTCCCTAGTATACCATCATGCAACAATGATGAAAATTACTGAACTTGTGAAGTAACAGAGGTACGTTTCCAAAAAAGAATGTAGTTTTCTGAGCTACTTCTGAAGTCATTTCTCCAGCCTTGATTTCCTCAACTCGTCCGTATCAGAAATGACCCTGGCCAGATTATCCCTGCTCTCTTGCCTCTCTGGCGATGTGAGAGAACAATCTTGTGTTCTAGTCGAGTTTTCTCCTTTATCCATCTCTTGGAAAGTTCCATACGAAGGGGAGCATGCAAGGGGAACATCCAAAGCGATCGCCCTTTCTATTGCTGCTTGATACTCCTCCTTGTGTTCTTTGGCAAGAGATGCCTGCCGCTCCATCCTCTGTGCTACCGGAATATCCATAATCCGCTCACTTTCCAGCAGTGACTGTACTAGAGAAAAATAAGTAATATTCAAAACTGCAAAACATATATTTAAAAAGCTTAAGAACATCAACAATAACTAAGTAGTGTTCCAGGTATATTGAGTTTCTACATGAATCGTTCTTCTCTAGTCCATCCACTTTATTGTTAGATCTATAGGAAAATGAAAAGCAACTAGAACATGTGGCGTGCCTCATCGACATCAACCTCACATAAGATGAGGATAGTCATCACATTTTAAAGAAGCTTATAAAAAAAATCATAAATTTCACTTCGTAGGAAGTGAGAGAGAGATTTTCATCTTAAACAAGCATTAGGGCTTTATTCGTTGAGTACATGATACACAGACATTTGTGGAAGGCGCTCCTAGCTCATTAATGTC